GACGGACCGACCCCCCCCCACCCCCCCACCACACACACACACACCAAAAAAACACAAAAACACACACGAACCAATGCCCTCCAATGACCGCTACCCAACCCTCCCGAGTCGGATGCTTCTCATCACCTTCAAAAACCGTCTGAAAGGGGCGCAGAAGGGCCACAGCCTTCTCAAGAAGAAGGCCGACGCCCTTTTAATTCGCTACCGCGCGACGATGCAGGACCTCCGCCGGGCGAAGTTGCTGATGTGCGATCAGGTCAAGGACGCCTACTTCACCATCACCAAGGCCCAGTTCATCCTCGGGGACATCAGCCTGGTGGTGCAGGAGTCGCTCAAAATCCCAACCTATTGTCTGCGGCTGAGGATCGAGAACGTGGCCGGGGTCCAGGTCCCGAGCCTCCACCCGGAAGAGGAAAAAGGGGGGTTCCCCACGACAAGCGGCCGCCCCGCCGTCGTGAACCTCGCGGCGGGGATCGGCAAGGGCGGGGAGCAAATTCGCGAGGCCCACGACGCCTTTCAACACACCCTCGACCTCCTCGTGCAGATCTCGTCCTTGCAGTCCAGCTGGATTACGCTGGATCTCGCGCAGAAGGTCACGAATCGCCGCGTGAACGCCCTGGAGAAGGTCGTGATTCCTCGCCTGCAAAACACCCTGAGTTATATCACCTCGGAGCTCGACGAGCAGGAACGGGAGGAGTTCTTTCGCTTGAAAATGGTCCAGAAGAAAAAGAAAAGTCTGGCCCTCGAAAAGGAACAAGAAAGTCTACGGCAGAAAACGGCATCCCCGACAGCGATTCATGTGAATCCAGCCGACGGGTTGAATACTTCGGGTGCGAAAAATGCGCTTTTGGAGGAATTCGAGGATGAGGTGGATGAGAGTTATTTGGTTGTCTGAGAAGGGGGTTCTTATTGGATTCTTTGCAGATGCTTTACCATCCTAATTACCGCCGGCACCTCCTTCTACCCATTCGTTCCGTTTCCATGCTGACATTTATCGTTTTTCCCAAATGCCATGCAGAACCCTTCCGCTTTCAGCCTTTATTGTTTATTTTGTATGCCTATTTTGCTTTAGGTTGTGTTCGTAGGGGGGTAAATTTCTTGTTGAATCTTGAATGATCTCCACTATAATACTATCATTTGTGAAGGGACTCCCATAATTGTCCGCTAGCGCTGAGCATGCTCATTCTCAATGTGATTTTCTTGGCAGGAAGAGGTGTGTGTGAAGGAATCTATTTTCTCTATTTTCTGATGTACTACGACTATTATTAATACTACAAATATTGGTCTTTTTCCCCTTTCCGCTTTTTTATTTATTTTAGACAACTAAGGGAGCGATAGTCCCTCCCCCTCCCCGTCCACCCCTCCATCGCCATTCCTTCTTTGTGCAGTGCTCTATTTCACAACCCATTGTATCATTATTATTATTATTATTAGTCTTGGCAATTACCATGCCGAGGCTGCATGTGTGGTTCACAGGGGCCTTCGCCGCGTCGGGGATTTCCTATCTTTCTTATTGGCATTTGTACCTTCCCCACATCACCGCGCAGGCCGCGTTTGAGGGAAAGGCGGAGTTCGACAAACAACACCTCCAAGGGGTTCTTCGGCGCCTCTCTCAGCTAAACGCGGCCGTCGCGCAGGCGCGGGCGCGGAATTCCCTCAGCCCTCCGGCCCCCAACAGTCCGACCGATTCGGCCTCGGTGTGGTGGACCAATCGCGAAAAACTGAACTTCTTCTGCGAGCTTCAGCACTTGCGGTGTTTATTCTTCGCCTTGCCGTATCTCGTCAAGGGCTTTTCGCTCGTGACCCGCGCGGAGGCGAGCGCCCTACTGCGAACGCTCAACGCGCTGGAGGCCCAACACTGCGATGGGTTGTACTTTCGCGCCGAATCGCTTACGCTTTTTCAGCAAATGAAGTGTCTTTTGTCCTTTTGGATTTATGTTATCGGCTTTAAGTGGATTCCGGCGCTCTACTGGCGGAAGGATACGCCCCGTCGGCGGCGATTTTTTCACGACATGGCGAGGCGAATCACCTCGATCTTGGAGATCGAAACCGCCATGACGATGGATACGGATGATACTAATGAAACGATGCACCCATCAGTGAAACCAAACGCGGTGGACGAAGAGGAGTTGGTGGAAAAGGGAGGGCAAAGCGTCGAGGGGGTGTTGTCATCGACTCAATACGTTGTGTTTAACGCGACGCATTGGATTGAGGAGGTGGGGTTTTGGGCCTGCCCCAATAACCCGCTCCTTCAACAAACCCTATCGCCAAGGATGGAAATCCTCTCTTCCTACTCAAACGTCGGTGGGGCTGGGGATGCTTCTTCGCCATCCTCGGATTCCTTTTTTTCTGCAATTTATAAACGATTAACGTTTTCTCGGCCCTGCGCGGCGGCCTTCCCCCTGACCTTTGATAAACACTGGCGAACCCGCTGGGCGAACCGCGAGGAGGACTACGCGCGTCGGGTGGAGCACCTCTCCCACGGATATCCGCCTTTGGTTCCTATTTCCGACGTTGTATCGAATTATCAAGATAAACCCTCTCACATTTTAACGAAAAGGAAAGAATTTTCTCATGATTTGAAGTCCACAGAGGACGAGCACACCGCAGAGTCTGACTGGAGGTCTCCCAATACCTCCTTTGGCTACCCTCTTTGCTCTGACCTCACCTCGTTGTCGTCTTTTCACCAAACCACCCAGCCACCCCTTTCCCGTGCTAGGACTCCTCATAATAACCTGAAAAAGGACACAGAAGATGCAAAGTACATCGGAAAGGACGCCGGAAGTGCTTCTTCTCGAAAAGCGAAGGATATTTCCCCACCGCCGTGGATTCCCATCGCCGTCGGGGGCCTACCGCGTTTACTTTTTGTGGATGCCTCCTTGGCGAAGCCGGACGTTCGGCAACCGACCACCCGCACGAGCGTCTACCACCACCTCATTCAAACGCAATTTCCGGAATCCTCCCCAGGCGATCCAAACCCCTTGGAAAGGTCCAATTCGACCTCCAAAATGCCTTCGAATGAAAAGGTGCGATCTGATAGAACCCTTTGTTGTCCAATAGGAAAAGAAAAGGCCACTCTCGATGGGATTCGTGGTGATCTAGTGAGATGGCAAGGGGAATGGTGTGGACTGCCCTGTTTTTCAAAGGTGTGGTGGGGAAGGGTGTATGGAGGAGGGCGGGGTTCTCGTCGACGAGGACTGCATTACCATGTCGGGCATCCCATCTCGACCGAAGAACTCCCCTCGGAGCTTATTCGATGTGCGAAAAGGGTAATTGAGTCGACGTATGCATAATTATCGTACATATAATGATTACAGGGGGAAAAAATGGAAAAGATTGTGAGTGGGGAATCGTACTCGTCGCCAAAAAGGTGCTTCACTTGGGATCCTCTTTTCATTAGCTTATCCTGTTCACTTGTTTGCGGTTATGATTACTCAGACGATCCCACTCCTTTTCTCTGTTTTTGTTGCAGTTGCTGTTTCTTTTTCATGGATTGAGTTCCTTCATTAGCCCCAAACACGTATTGGTTCCTTTTTTCTGGAAGCGCAGTTCGCTCGCTTACATTCCTTCAATAGCGGACCGGGTGTGGATCGTTCACTCCCTTCCGACACCACCGTCCCTCCCCCTCTCCCCCTTTCCCCTTTAGCGTCGGGGATGGCCGCGGTGGGATTCCGCCGTGTGCGTGTCCTCCCGCT